TCTTGTTCATGTCTTCGAGCACGGTAAATTCCAGAATTCTTCTCATAAATATCTTTCAGGAATTACATGTATAAGAAACCATAAATAGAACTCCTATAAACAATTAAAGCATTTCAAGATAGTTTCTGATGTTCAGTATGTATTTCATTTTGATCAAAAGAAAAACTATTCAATTATGCAGTGTATTTAAATTTCTTCTTTTAACGTAATTGATCTATTACAATTAAATCATATTTAAAACAACTGTATCTCAGGTACGAAAAATTTGCATATTCACCAGATCTTTGCCTTAGTTCCGAGATGTAGAACATTTTTATTAACTCCTCGAAACTATTTATACATTCTAAATAACCTGATAAAAACAATTAATAAATATGCATTCGAAATTCCCACTGCAATTTTATAAAAAAAAAAAAAAATGAATAGTTTGACACATCTCCAGAACTTGGCAACTTTCCCCTCAAAGTATTCTGCGCAGATTGTTAATTCAGCTTACCGACGAATCATCATTATATCGCGTGCCCATAATTGTTTGACTTTCATTATTCAAGGTTCCTTGGACGTATTCGTACGAATAACAATGATCTAAGGTTCCTGTGTTTCCAGAACGTTCGAGAATCCCACAAAATACGCATACTTCTTGATACATCGGGAGATTAGATTCGCATCGACAATAAAATCTCCTTTGTACCACCGCAATTGTATCTATGCTGGAGTATTTCCTCATCTTCTATGTTTACTGTTACTGCTTCTGGGTTGTTGAAATAAAGGGAAATTATTATTCTCCCATGAGGATGACGATCAGAGATAGGTAAAATTGTATTCGAATTATTTATGGCGGATTAAAAGGTAGGGTTTATTTGTTTGAATAGCTACACAGATCAAATTCTATTCTTTGATCGTGAAATTTAGTTTCAGTCAAGGATTCGAACCCTAACCCGTACCGGGTTCCGGTATTTCGTATTATAGAATAACCCATCTAACCAGGTAACACAAGACATCTGTAACCCGAGTAACCCGGTTAACTTGGTTGTATGCGCGTTATAATAATACATTAAAAACCATAGTTATTACCATGTTTCTAAACGGTAACCAATTTTATTTCAATATTGTCTGTTTTCTACTCGACTTGTCCATCCGCGAGAAAAAGGTCATGCAAGTGCTTACATTTACTCGTATTTATTACTCGTTTATTGTACTTATGTAGCAGAACGGGGACGTAAACACTTGGCCAGCCCTCTTCTTGCGGACGAATAATACATGTATTGGCATAAACAGTCACTTGAAGGAATCCCTATTTTGACCGGACGTGTTATGAGTTTTCTGGGAATTCCAACACTAGCAACTGTGACAACCAGGCGAATGATAAACATTCGTCAGTCTTGCCTTAGAACGTGTAGTGAACGTGTGTGTCTAACATTCATTATATACTCGTACATTTTAAACAATCTAGTTTCGTTTGATTTTAATATTGCCTGTAAGTTCACATATCTTTGACTTGTCTGGATGTCTAGGATGTCTTCTTCTACTAGTAACCCACTCCGAGCAGGTTAACCCGCTCTTCCTACAATTCAAGAACCGTTTCTTCGTGGTTAGTATGGGTTACAGTAACCTTCCCTTCATTAACCGGGTTTGGGTTAGGGTTCAGCAGCGGTTCGAATCCCTGGTTTCAGCTTATAAGTAAAATTCTAATTTCTATTTAACGAATCACGGTTAATAAATTGTTTAACTTAAACACGGTTTAAATTTTCAAGTCGATAACATCGATATGATACATATTTATCTACAGTATCGATGCACATGAATTCATTTGCAAACCCATCATCGCGTTATTTTCTAAAATATTCATAATTGAATTTCTCAATAGCCAATATCAGTTTCAAGTTTTGTTTATTGGAACAAATTAATTCATCCCTGAAGTATCCAAGATCTTCTCTAATATAAATCGAATGAATTCGAGGCTCTATGTCATCAACGAAAATTCAAGTAACAGAGGATTCACTGCGCTACCATAATTTCTAAAATAATCTCGTTGACGAAATGAAATCCGCTGACCTCATCCAGCCGCTTCTTCTTTTCGCGTTGCGATTGGATTGCGCAAAACCGAGCAAGGAATACGCAGTGCCGTAACACGGGAAGCAACGCCTGTAATAGATGTGTAATTTAGATTAAGGATCGCGGATGATGTGCATTAACTTTCAACGAGATCGCTCGACCTTTTCCTTCGCTGTTCAAGTGCTGTCCAACGAACGGCCGAACCATTAACCCCTTCGTGCCCGCGACTTGGTGCAGTGACCATTATTCAATTCTATGCGGTTTGCATTCGAATCGACCATTTTACTCGAACCACATAACGTGTTCGACTCTTTAGCTTGAATAAATAGAATAAATCCTTGGCATAAATAGAAAATCTAAAGCAATATTTAATATTGAGTTGATATAAAAAAAAGAGGGTGAAGAGGAACGCTACTGAGAATGTTTGAATAGGTAGAAATGTGATGGGTAGTATTAAACGAAATTGGTGTGTGTATGAAATTGACTGCATTATTTCTTTGTTTGTTTTAACGGAAGTATCAAACATTATTATTTATTTCTTTTAAGCTCTATCAGCCTGTTTGATTTCAAGAATGATATGTAAGAGCACAATGAACTAAATGATTTAAAAAATATATAATACAGATTGGATTTACGACTACCTTATTACTGCATTCAAATTAAAAAAGTAATCCGTAAAATGAAAATACGCAATTAATATAATAATAATAATTAAAAATCTTCAAAAACTGATGTGCACTGAGAACGACACGATTAGCACGAAGGATTTGAAGATTTATGTAATTCTTCATTATATAAATTTCTTCCGAGTTTCCCAAACATTTAGAAGTAAATGATTTCTTCGTAATTTGGAACCTTATGATTAATTTAATATTCCAAACTAAGCAATAACCAGGTGAACTTGTATAGTTAATGGATTTCCTTATAAGAAAATATTACGAATAAATCTTGTAAAATATTTTTAATAGACAATCCAGAAATTTCCATTACTAAATCCACAATTAAACACATTAAACAATAGAGGATCGATCCATTCATCGTATGTTTCTAAATCGATGTATTGTGATTTATTTTCCTAGTACTTTGACTTCATTGTTTTTGTCAAGACGTTGGTAAATGGGTAATAATGGATAAGATGTATTTCCACACTGTTTTAGAACGTGTAGAATTGGATGTGCTATATTTAATACGCCATGGGCGAGATGATTAAGAAACCCTCGATACGTCGACCGCTGCTTTTCGATTCGCGACTCGAGATACTCAAAGCCTGGCATATTTGCGAAACTACGAGCAACTTTCTACTTTGCACTAATCTTTCACTTCTTAAGTGATCGAACCATATTTAGAGGTGTATTGTCGCGATATTGCAAAACTTATTTTCTTGCATGACGTTGTTTCATAAATGAAGGTGAACAATGCATCGCAAAGAACCGAGCATGATTTCTTTAACTCCTTTTAAAATAGATAGTAATTAACAAGGGGGATATAATATAATACATAAAAACAATTAAAGCAAATCATGAGTCACATGAACAATATAGAATATTTTATTTAAATTATTTTATTCGTGTTTTTTAGCATTATATTCAAAGAACCTAATAATAATAATAATAATAGTATGTCCTCATTGTGAAAGACTTGAATATTTCTATAAATAGAACAGAAAATATTGAGGAAATCAGTGAAGTATTTAATATTAATTCCCACACTTTGTATAAATGTCAAGATGAAACTATACGCTATAAGCTAAACAGAATAATACTCATTCTGTCATGTTCCATCATTTTACTGCCACCATTGTGATTTGGAAATAGTGATCGCCAATTGAGAATCTAGAGGCAGTGGGCGTTCAAGGATGAGCCACCTTGTGTTCTAGGATGCATTTTATGCGATATAAAAATTTCGCAATTGCTACTAAATAGTGTTATATAACAGGACGCTATAAATAAATGTGTTAATGTGCTCTTTGCTATAAAAGGATTCCTTCATAAACGTTAAAAACGTTATAGTAGGTATTTACTAATGTAAAAAAGCTTTATGATACACCGAAAACTGATTACTTAAACAGAAAATTTTGGTAAACGTGTATTCCAAGATCCATAAAATTTTTATTATTAAATGGCCAAATGTCGCTTATGCCAGTCTTGCAATAAAATTCTACATTTTAAATGTCAGAGTTATAGGCAATAAAGGACCTTTCAATATTTTTATTTATACAGAATAAAGTCAGCAAACGGCAGAAATTCAGTGAAAATAAAAATTTACTTGTTCCATTGAATAAACGTTATGAATGAACTGCTACACTTTGATATTATTAGGTTGTCCTAATAAAAAAAACTCCTGCACTTAGTTATTCTTTGTGTCAGAATTTATATAAATAGACAACCTAATCTCTCAAAAGTTGATGTTACATAGTAATAGAGCAAAATGGATTCTACACAATTCAGTAACATAACATAAAACATAAGATATTCTATACATAATGATTATTAATAAAACGGAAAAAAATTTTGCGACAACCAAATAACATTTATCTATTATCTTAATAAGATCTCTACTCAACGCTATATTTTTATTTCCCTTGTATTTGTTCTTATTTCTTCACTTTTGTTTGCACAACTTCATTCAATAATTCATATCACAATTTTAATTAAACAAATAACGATCAAAGAGTTCATAGTTTACTCGTTGCTCGAAATTTGTACCTGCATAAACTATTTCACCTTTTTCTGCTTTCATACTAAAGAAGACAAGTAAAGATTGCCGTAAATGTTTACCTTCCCTCGCTGACGATACAAGTGAAAACGAAATTGACAAGTGATGATTCGCAATGTCCCACATTTCACTAGCAACCAAACCGTTTACACCTTTGGAAACATGTAAGTGCTTTATAACAACAAGAAAGTCGGTCGACGGTTATCTTTGCTTGAATGCGTTCCCTCCTTATTTCGCGAAGTGTCGCCAGTTCGAGAAGAATCAGCGAGATAAAACTTTCGCGATCTGTGTAGAACGTTGCCAAACGATGAACGATAAAATTATGAAACTTGAAACGCTTCCAAAGTCCGTAAAGATTCTTAAATAACGCCATCTTGACAGCGACAAAACGGAGTATATTCATGAATTTTTTTGTAACAGTACTGTACGCCTGACCGAAATTAACATTTTAGCGCGAGTGAAACATGTGACATGGAGTCAGATGGAAATTTTTATATGTACGTTAAACAATAAGCTAATAAAATGGCCTTTATTTCAGGCCTAACTGTGTCTGAGGATCTTAAACTTGTCAGATGGTAATGTTTATGAGTGTAGTCTCTGTCCTTTGACGAATAGAATATTTAAAATTTCTTAAATTATACGAATTATAGCATTTATTTGAAAACAGTAGAGGAACAACTTTGTATACTGAATTTAGTTTGATTTCTGGAAAGCAGCAATATGTTATTGACACTCTGGAAATTATTATTTTAAATCAGAGGATGGGCGATACTTTTATCTAAATTGAAACTTCTAATCATGAATAAAAAATACAACTGTTTATTTTTTTTATAGTAAACGAACCCCTTTAATCCACTTTCTTTGAGTTTATAGAAAATATTCCGTGGTTGATCAGTTGCATCTAGAAACAAAAATTTGATTAAATTGAAAAACAAATACGAAATTATTTAAAAATTAATACTGGCACATTTTATACAGCTACTACAATTATTAATATCAATCTAATAATTTCAAAATGACAAGAATTTAGAAAAGAAGTCTACAGAGAACAATGAGTTGACACGATAATTCTAATTGCATTATTTCTCGTAGCGTGGTGTTAAAAATGGTCTTTAAATAAATCACTGACCGTGAAATTCATCAGTAAGAAAAGCCATAAAAACGGTCACTTTTCGGCTTGCACGAGGATTGAAACAGTCACGTATCCGCTCATATCCAATTAATTACCCACTTCTAGGATAATTACGAGCAGAACGTTGTTACTCGAAACCGACTTGTCTCTTGTTTTCGCAAATAAAACGTATCTAACGAGCGTGAGACGCCGTATCGAAATATAGAACAGATTATCCTGCACAATGCGCTCGCGATATAAAGTTTAATAAGCTGGTGACATTCGAGTCCTATGTAACGGGTAGACCATACAAAATTTATCGTTGCAAAAGTTTCATGAAAATCCCTATGAATTCATGTATTATTCGGAATTTAGTTAATGAAAAAAATAATCTAATCTAAAGAAGAAATTGTATATAGCATAGTTAGTAATGACAAAGTGCAGTAATTAATAAAAAAGAAATGTGTATTTGAAATAGGTGAAAATATAAATAAAATCAAAGAATCCATAGATTTTTACTTTAGTTTGATAAACAAATAATTATTAGAATAAATTAGAGAAAGAGAAATTCAACACTTCAATCTATCACTTGTTTATTATTATTTTTCTCTTTTAAGCCTCTAATGAAATAATATCAACATTGGAATGAAATTTTTTAAATGCTTGATTTTTTTAATACAGATATTTTAAAGTTTATCGTTAAACTGTGAACTAAAGACGATAACCATTTCATAATTTGGTTTATCTGATGAATTTCTTGTTCTATATAATTTAATAATAATATAATAATATTATCCTGTGAAAGTCTTCCATTTAAACTTAAACATTGAGTTCCTAATAAACTGTACTGCTCAAAAAGCCAAAGACTCCTCATTCTTTAAATCGTTTTACATTGGTATGACAAAGTATAATACTGCGATACATAAAAACGGAGTCCATGTAATGTATCGTATATAAATTAATCTAAAATGGAAAAATGTGTACAAAGTCGTAGAGATTATAAAACATTTTACGATGTTTTGTGCAAAAACCGGTCAGAGGATTGTACACCCATTTAAGTTCCGGAAGTTCTGCTTTCCTGTATATAAAGAGCATGTGGTGAGAGATTACACAATGTACAACTTGTTACTACAGAGGGCAAAATAGATTTTTATTTTATACCTTCTACAATTTTTTAGAAATTCCCCACAATATAATGTATATTCTCTTTTTAGATTCAAATTATCATTTTTGTATAGCCTAGAAGATAACTAAACACAATTAGTCGAAAACGTGAAACAAAAGTAATGAAGTGCTTGTTACAAATACATCCTACGTTATTCATTTTAATATAACACGCTCCTAATGATTTTAATTACTAAAGTACATAAAAATCAAGGCTAATATTAAACAGGTTCCCTTAATTTTGAATCACTTTTAGTCTCTAGGAACATGACAATTGAATTTTTTAAATTAATCGTGTAAAGAAGTGTGTTAATTTTGTTATCTGCACCAAAAAAAAAAATGTAATTATAGATACAATAGTAATAGAAATACAACACAGTTGCAGTCGAATAAAAGGAACTTGATACTTACAAACATGACAATTGAATTTACTAAATTAATCGTGTAGATATGTATACTAATTTTGTATCTGTACCGAAACACTGTAATAAATTTATTGGTAATAGAAATCAAATTCAGATGTAATAAAATAAAAAGAACTCGATGTTCATAACCATCACAATAAGATTTACTAAAGAAATATACTAATTTTGTGTCTAGACCAAGAAATTATAGTAGATGCAATATTAATAAAAATACGATACAGCTGTAATAGAACAAGCGGAACAAAATATTTAAAGCTCGTCGCCTTATCGTACTCGAAGAACGAACGACCTCAGCCCTTGCTCAGCCATCGCTAATCGTCTATTCTTTAGTCAGGTTTGCATCAATGTTGCTATTCAATAACACGCATAATCGTGTCCGGTTGAACCGTCGACCCTATCTGCGTTCTATCCCGCGCCCAGCTACGACTGAATCGCAGCGACACCAGCTCCCCAGTTATTCGTCATTAGAACATATTAGAACCGACTGGAAAATCGCGAGTTAACGACCACCCGTTGTATCATACGTTACGAGAGACCGGCGCACGACTAGGCGTGGTCCACGCGAACCTGCAGTCTCTTTCCTTCTTCCTTTCTTTCCCACCCCGACCATTTCTATCTATGGGTCTCTCGACTGTCTGCTATCAAGGCACTTGAAAATACGATACACTTGCGGACTCGTTCAATCGTGAAGGCGGGTCCAAGCTTACTGCTGAACCGAACGTTGCAGTCGAGATATAGGGACATTGCAGGACATTGCAAGACATTGCAACGTTTCAAGAAAAATTAGACGTGAGAGTTTTGATGATGAAAATGTTGGATCGTAAGATCTAGATAAAGAGAAGCACGGATTGTCGTTCATTCCAACGTTTAAACAGAAATTAGATGTGACAGTTTTGATGATAAAGATGTTGAATCGTAAGCTTTAAATATAAAAGCATAGATTGTCACACAGAGCAAAGTTAAATAAAAATTGGACGTGAGAGATATTTAATGACAAAAATGTTGGATTGTAAGCCTTAGATAAATAAAGGCATAGATTATCATTTATGGTCGTCCTGAGCATTAAACAAAAATTAAACGTCAGAAAGTTTTGACAGTAAAAATGTTGGATTGTAAGCTTTAGATAAATGAGAGCGTAGATTGGCACTCATGGTCCTTCTAAACGTTAAACAGAAATTAGATGTGAGAGAGTTTTAACGATAAAAATGTTATATCGTAAGCCTTGTATAAATAAAAAAAATAGATTGCCACCCATGGCATCCTAAGCGTTAAGCAAAAATTAGAAGCCAGATTTGATGATGAAAATATTGGACAGAATTCTTGAATAGAAATAAGAAATAATAGCATACATTGTTATTCATGGGCCTTTCAGGGGTTAAACAAAAATCCGATGCGAAATAATTTTGATGACTAAAACGTTGGACTGCAATCTTTAGATAGAAGTGAGAAATGAATCTATCCAATGTCATCCATGGTACTTCCAAATATTTTCAGTGAAAAATTTTCATATATTAGAGAAAGAAGATTAGACAAAAATTGGAAATGGAAGAGTTTTGATGATAATATCGTTGGACTGCGATCCTTGGATTGTTAGCCATGGACAATCCAAGAGTTTTTAGTACAAGATTCCCAACCTTAAAATCTTTGGTCCTCCTCAGTAATTTTAAAGAATACCATTCTAAAATTTCTAACTAATCTCTACTTTCTTATTAATTTCTAAAATAGCGCATAGTTTTACTAATTAAGTAGAAACTCAATAAAATCCGTCGCCAATAACCAAACAGTAGATGTGACGTTAAATCAACCATTAAAAAAAAATTTTTTAAAGATTTCAAATTTAATATTCAACCATTACGAATATCCTCTGCACAAAATATTAAAATACCCCAGTATTCCAACAGTAGGACTATTACCTACTCGACTTCTGTTCGACAAACACCAATTTGAATCACTGAAGTGTATACTTCTTCAGCGAATTACGTAAGAAGACGGTGTTTTAAGCCATAGGTCATACCTTTCCTATCCAATCTAATTCGCAAAAATAAACAAAAGATCTCGGTAAACCTAGGTCCACATACTGTAATTTCCAGGTTAAACGCGAATGCTCCCTTGAGTAATCCCAGCACAGTTTCGTAACAGGGATGGACGCGCAGGCGCGTCCAGAGATACTTCCGGTATTCGCGTGCAGCTGTCTGAAACGTTTCGCTAACATTTCTCTGGTAAGGTGAGAACAGGGAAGAACCGTTACGAAAGCTAACGAAATTAAAAATCGAGAAACGAAAGGACTTTAATTGATACAATCATTAAGGATCCAATACGAGAAGTATCAATATTATACAATCGTCAGTTTGAAGAAACACTAATAAATCTATAAGAGGAGTATTCCTAGAATTCAGTACAGCTGGAGTATGAAGTACTTAAACTAATTTCTATCTATCATTTACAGTGTTCGCGGCGATGGGATGATTAGGAATACACAGCTCGAGAAAGTGAAACGAATTGGTTCGCGGTAAATTATTGAAGATATATTGAATTCGAGAGCAATATCGAACCATGAAAAATACACGCGATTGATTCGCCTCTGTTTCGAATAATTTATCTTAAATGCTCTGGTAATTATCACGGTTAAATAAATATGCAACGTTGAGTTCCCGTTACTTCTGTTTACGATCAAAACTTTCCAATCGCTGACACGTGGCTAAAGTCCGCGCGTTATGACTTGCAGAATATGAAAGGATCCGCGGTGGTAATTTTTTAACCTAGGAACACGTTTCGATAACCTTTTGCGTTGAAAGCACCAACGAGAACGTTCGGGATCTTCTTCGTTATTGCGTTACGAACAATTATTGAGAGATCGTCAACTGGACGATGACCGTAACTTCATTGCTTCGTTGGACTGCAATCCTTGGATTGTTAGCCATGGACCATCCAAGAGTTTTTAGTACAAGATTCCCAACCTTAAAATCTTTGGTCCTCCTCAGTAATTTTAAAGAATACCATTCTAAAATTTCTAACTAATCTCTACTTTCTTATTAATTTCTAAAAGTAACTTCGTTACTTCATGTTCTCTGGAATATTTACTTTCACGTAACATTTCAGAATGTGCTAAGATTGACATGTATCTCGACTCGGTGAATATGTGGGTCATCGATCGTCGTTAGATGACAGTTAAACGTATCGTAAATTTTTATTCATATTTGAAAGCAGCAGTAAGTAAAGTAATTGATTCATTAGTATGTCATCATAGTCGATTTAATTTTATATTCAAAGCGTTTGACTTGACAACTTAATTCCACCTTGGTTTCGATAAATAACATCTATTGAAGTAACGAAGTAAAAATATCTTCAGGGGATAAAAGGTATATTAAAATATATTATGCTGAGGAAATTAATTAATATTCTAAAAAAATGATGAAGCAGAGTTACGTTGCAGAAACATTTACTGGATAATATCAATACTCAATATCGGAATGAAATATTGCTATTATTGAAAGAATTAAAAGTATAGAAATGTAAAATATGATACGTTTAAAAATTATAACTATTGTGAAAATAACTGATTAAATATGTACGTATGTATTGAAGTGTGTACATTATATTATTTTGTTAATGTTACATTAATAACAAGACTGCAAACGTTTACGCAAATTCATGCTATTACAGATACAGATAAAAATTTGAGATTTCAATCAAGGTACGTCTTATTTTCTAAATGCAACATGTATTTTATTCTTAATATTTTATATATTTTTACATTTATGCACACTCTGATACGTTTTTCCATATTTTCACTCGCTATAAATACATAACCATCCGCAGTCTATAATTAGCATTCAATTATAATTCAATATTAATACGAAATAAAACTAAGAACTGTATAAATTAGCTATAAAAATTCATAATTAATTCGTGTAAAACTATATAACCGAAAAGAAATGTTTGCAATGAAAGAATTTAAAATACATTCCATTGCAAGCACGTTTCGCTACCGATCGAAAAAGGCGATTAGAAACGAATTGATGGTGTATTAGATATATAAACACTGTATCTGCTCTATAAGCTAAAGTAGCTATACTTCCTACCTTCTCTTCACAGTTTCTCACGCACGCTTTGTTTTCACTTTTTCCATTGGAATGATCTGATGTAACCGCAATAATAAAATGTAAAACTTATCGAACAGGTAAACGAATTGGAATCTGAGTTGTCCGAATGAATCAAATGAATCCTAACGAGAACTCCGTTAGGTCGAGAAAATTATTAACAACGGTAGCTCAATACACAAGTGCAAGTGAATATGAAAATAAATGAAAATTTGTATTTTATTTTTAATAATATTTGAAAACAAAACAAAATGGTTTTAGAGCAATATATAAAGTAGATTTACTAACTATGACTTTTCGATCAAATTGTTATTATTTTATACCTGAGAATCTTTATAAATATATAGAAAAAAATTATATAAGTAATATATAATTTTAATGCACATATTATATATTACAATATAAATTTTCTATATCTACATAAAGATTCTGAGATCTTTAATAGGAATATTCTTCTACTTGTTAAAATAAAAATGTATAACAAATTTATAATTCTACTGCTATGTACATCACACCGATCTCTACTTGTCTTTTTCACATTATTCTTCATGGTTTTGCACGTCAATTCTTTAATACTTCATTTGGAAGCAGTAATGCTGTACTAATTTCTGTGAATACTGTATTTTCACTTCATCCTGTATTATTTAAAGTGACACAAAGAGGGCCATGATACATTCGTGAATACTAATGAATATACAGATATTATGAATTTATAACAAATGAAAATACTTAAAAATATAAAATATCAACTATAACGAATAGAATGGGTGTTATATCATTTAGAGAATAAAATGAACTTTTATTGAAATTTCAATTCCTTTCCTATATCTGTGAGAAATATTAATTTGCATAAACATTCGCAGTCTCCTAGTAAATTAGAATAGTAAAATCCCATTTCCTTTTTTCTTCTCAAACAGTAAAGGTGCAGCGAGCTCTATGTCCGATTCAAACGCAAACAAAACAATCGCACCACCATTAACACTAATTTTATGGAAAGCTGAGTCAACGATTCAAGACACTTTCTATGACGAAATGGTCGAAGAAGAACGTCTATCCCAATCTCACGAGCAACGCAATTAATTTCCTTTCCTGTCACAATTTTGTTTTTCTTGGCATCTTCGCCGGCGATCCTTTCGAACCATTTCTTACGTACAAACGATTTTGAAATGCTAGGTTACCAATATAAGAATCCTGAACTCTTGGTGAAAACTGCTAATTTCAGGTTGGAATTGATCCACTTCGAGCGTGAATCGCATCCACATGATCGACTTCACTTTTCTGACATGACGTCTGCTACATCGCATGACGCTGGTCATTCTACTTTACCAAGAATCTAGATGAAACTATCAAAGAACCATATTCGAGGTACACTGCTAGCCATAAGTATTAGAATCTGCATAAAATGTAATATTTATGACAGAATAACATCTTTCATTTTCTGGGTATTATTGAAATACACGTTCAACTGTAAATATTTATTGTACTACTATCACGGTTAATTTATAACTAGGCTGCAGATTCTTACGCATTCATAGGAAATCCTAATGTGCAAGAAATTACAAAATGCACAAAGTATACAATAGTATAAAAGAATATTGAGAAAGTTCATATTATGATGTTTACAGAGTAAATTAAATTCCTATTAAGGTTCAAATTTTCCTAGATACGTATATAATTATTTTATTTTGCATAAAGGTCCGCACTCTTTTTATAACTTCATCGCATTTTATTTGTTACATAAGTTTGCCACGTCGTTGGTAAACGACGCGTCGTTTGCGTTAATCAAATTAATATATGAAATTTACCAGTAAGTGTTATAAAAATACAAGCAATCACTCTTTCTACAATCTTTTCTCACCTTTCTGGCAAAGTTAATATAACGTCGCTGTAAAGTTTCTGTAGTTTTTTTTATTAAATGTAAGCACAATTTGTGGCACGAACATGGGGAATATACTATTAATATGTACGAAGAATATTATATCGTTAGGTTGTATTTCCTCGAGTCATATTAAATTTATGTGTAGTATATATTAAAATGAAATTTAATGGTATGGAAGTAATAATTAGTTAATAGAGATTTTAGTTTTGTTTGAAGAGGGATTTATGCAAGAGAACGACCCAAAGCAGACGTCAAAAAATTGCAAAGGCTATTTAGAGAAATTAGAATATCAAAATGAACTGAAAATTATTCATTGGTCACCACAATTACTGATCCTCAACCTTATAAAAAGAAATATGAGATATTCTTAGAATTAATTCACGCAGGCTGTCCTGATACTTATGATCGCCTGTGTGCGTGACTTAACGACAGGAAACGAAGAAAACGCATCAACGTCATCGATTATAAAACCCGCGAAGATTTCCCTTTCGATGACTCGTCGTGGACCATCTCTACAAATAACTTCCTTTCCCGGTCGTTAATTACGCGCATGCATCTTCAATTAGAGGAGCTATACAAATTATAAGAATTAAACCGTTCCAGCGACTCGGCAGCCTTCGCAAAAGAAGGAAGGAAATATTAGCGCCCCTCCCTTACTATATTAATCGCAACAGGGTATCCTTGACACAGAATTGACGTACTCCTGAATTGTACTTTGGTAGAAAAACGAGAATCGCGAATTCGTCGGTGAAAGACACCGGATCCGTGATCTGCAAAACCACTTAGCTGGTGGTTTCTTAAATTCCATGTATTATCTGGAACTCGGTGACAATTCTTGAAATTTATCACTGCACGTAGTGCGAGATTTGTGGAATGACCATTTTTTTACTTATTGTATCTGGCGGCATCTCGAGAATAAAAATGAAATGCAAGTACAAGAATCGCATTATATCGCAGCAGGGTGAAAGGACGAGGTTCAATGGACAAGGCTGTTGTAAAACCCAACCCAGTAATTTATCCTTAAAATCTTCCTTTGTTGCGTTACTAAATTAATTTATCAATGAATATTTCGAAAAAGTTAGTTTGTATTTTAAGATAGTATCTTTCAAGATTTTCACGTTTACTGTTATTTGTCATATGTCTGAGAAAAGAAGTATGGCAATTTGCAAACAAATTTCAAAACATTCCTAAAGTGTTCAAGCGATGCTAATGACATAACGCTATTTTTAAATATCTTAGATATTATTTCAGAGTACATGTTTATGTAAATCATAATTCATTAATGATAAATGCTTGTAAGTGATATTTTTTGAAACAACCTGTACGTATGTTACAAATAAATATACAGTCATTCAAGTTATTAAAGAATGAAGTCTACATTTGTGTACAATAAGCAGTGCTATTATATACAATTATATAAATATTATACACATTTGAATACTTTATTCTTAATAGTATGCACTTGTGTACTTTATTCATAGTAACATATATTTATATACTTTTTTGAATAGCTAAATCAATTGCTAAATTCGAATTATTACAATTTTTACGAAAATTGCCACTTACCTGAGTACTGCGTTCACGAAGACCTTCGGTCGTGACGAAAAGCAGCACCACCAATGCCACCACCGTGCACCACGAAAATCTCCGCGCCATTCTAAACAATAAAGAACAACTACATAAAATAAAACTATCTAAACAATACCCAAAAATTCAAATATTATTAAGCCACAATAAATATTAAGCATTCAGAGACCACATTAAATTTTCATATTCCCTCTAACGCAACTTTCATCGATTAAACGCACTTCAAAATGTAAATTAAGACCTTTTAAAATAACTAATTGGAAAAATTCTTTCTGTAGTTTTCTTTGAAATCTTTTTCTATTTGTAGCACCAAGTGTGCGCACATGGAAAATTTGTAGGTACACGCAAAAGTCAAGCACCGCCGTCTGGATTTAAATTCACTTTTACTCGTGTAATTCTTGGTCTGTTAACGATGCCTGTAATTCCCCGCAACTATGCTCCACGCAAGAGAGCACCTATGTGATCATAGCTTCGCAACTGGAACCACTTAGCAACGTAATTAAAACACCGTAATTTCTGCGTCGGACAACAGAAAGGTCTTCTTAAAATTACCTCTGATATTAAATTATCCCGCGTTCTTGTATTACTTGGAGATTGTATTTTTACATCATCAAGGGTGAATACGCAATTACCCCCTTTGTCTCCGCATCAAATAGATCGATCGAACCGTATTTATATCTTACATTATTGTGTCAGAACGCCTTCATCCCTCTGACACTCGATTAAAAATAACTGGGGAAATACTTAGTCATGCAATAACATTGCAAACGTTACTCTCTAATGCTTATCCTTTTTCGATGATAAAAAGCAAATTTTATTTAATTAACAAACATACTTTTCCTGAATATGGCGTTTGTTATTCTACGATTGAATATTACCTCGAGTCCTCTTAAATACATAATTCATGCTGCATACAGGAGTGTCGAAAGAAGAGATAAAATCCACTTGGATAATATCACGTCCGCTTTACTAAAAGGTATAATCATGAGCTACTTTCTTGGAAGATGAATGGAAACTTAGAATGAATAATAATCGTCTTATTTAGGAGAAGAATTTCTGCTATTTAAATTAGATAGGCTACTATAACGAGGACAAGAGACACCGAATGCAAGTGGTCTAATGATATTACTGAGCAAAATGAAGATTACATTGTTAGATTTAATCATAATTATTCTGTAATATACAGGAAATAACAAATAGTTCAATGCTTTGCTAATTAAATTAAATATGTTATTATAATCAGAAGAAGAGAACCTTATTATATTTTCAGATTTAATTATACTTATTCTACAGCTCAACAATGTTTGCTAATTACATTAAATTTTCTATTATAACCAGGAAAGTAAGTCTAAAAGGAAACGACTTAAAAGTGAAATACTTTTAGATTTAATTGTAGTAATTCTTTAATGTACTTGAAATAACAAATAGTTTAATGTTTTGCTAATTAAATTAAATATGTTATTATAATCAGAAGAAGAGAATCTAAGAGCAAACAACCTAATGACACTGCTGATCAAACTGGAGATTATTTTTTTAAGATTGAATTATTGTTATTCTCAAATATACCAAGGAATGCAACTAGACATTTAATTCTCATTGTACATTTTCTTGCGGTTTGAAGCTTTCTGATCGATCACTGTGCCGCAGTTATTTCCTCAGTCTCAAACGGTAACATCTCGAAAGGAGGCCAAGGCTTAATTCATACCAGCAGAAAAGATTTAAAAATGCCCATAGCTCGTCCCCACCCTACATAATGGAAACCTGAACCTGCCGTGACATTTCCCAAAGCGCACCACCTGTACCGGTTTGCGAAAAATACATCGACTATCAAAATCATGTGAAGTAATCTTGTTGCACGATTGCAAGTTCGTTACTTTCTGCATTGAAAATATTTTATTTGAAACGGATATAAGAAGTATTAAAACTGTTCTAAATAATCATTTCAGTCTTTTACTTCCACAGAAGTTATTTAAAATAATAGAAATAATTGAAGTTTAGAACTATTTTTTATTGAAAAAATTATACAAATTTTTACATATATAGAGCAATTAAATTGACGATCATGAAATGTTCGTAAAATAGTAGTCAGGTTTATAAATAAAATGTTCAAATCATTATTTAACTTTTGTAACTTTGTTTATCCACACATGGAAATTGGATTCCACGCTTTTAAATAGAACGTCCAGCATCTAATTTCAGAATTGGAACTCAAAGTTACATAAATGGATTGCTGAAGCGTCGTGCATGCATTATCGATTGTCGAACTGAATAGCCAGTTCGCAAAGTAGGCTTAATGGATCGTTTGAAATAATACTTATTTTATAAATAGCTCATTAACAGTTAATTTTGAACTCTTTCCAATTCGACTATCAAACTTTACTTTATACTCGAACAAGTTACAGTTTCTCTTTAGAATATAAGTTTCTCGATAAGATTAAGTAAGAATTAGTAATGAGAAAGGTTAAGTGAATGTAGGAAGAAACATTAAAGAACAGAGGAAGGAAAGCAAAAGACTTACGAATACTTAATTAGTGTGTAACATGTTCAATTGATTTCATGCAGATACTGTTTAATCATTTTTTTCAAACAACAAACAGTAGAAATGGAAACTTGTCAAGGAAGGTGAATCACCTTGTACGGCATTACTCATTATTTTACTAATTTTTCGTACTTTAAGGTAGCAAATTTGATATAATTTAATTTTTGAAGTCCTTCGATGAAAATTTTGAAAGGACGAATGGGAGAATGACATCGAATAGCTTAGAATGCTTGAAATACACAAACAGAGGTGGATGACCGAAATCGACACTATAAAAAACCGGTATCTAAGGATTCAAGGTTCAACAAACGGTGATCTAACGCGACCGTCTGAGGTACGCGGGAAAATCGTGATGATCGTGAGTTCTCTCGATCCTCTTTCCTCCTCTTCCTCGAAGATCGACGAGAGTAGTGGAGGAAGATCAAGATCAACCGTGGATCGACGACCGTACTCGAAATACCGTTAGACTCGATTGCGTTGCATTATGATTCATTAGCATCGCCCATTCAGGTTCTGCTCCTCCATTTTTTTCGCATCCAAACCCCGCTACCTTCTGTAGCATAATTTACAAAGTCACTTTTCATTTCTTTTTACGACGCATTCCTTCCACAGCGTATCTTTTACGAGTCGAAAACGTAGAATAATGGGATAATAATTATGGAGTCTCAGATAAGCGATTTATTTGTGTTTTGACACTTTATTTTAGGGTCATCAGTTTTATTATGGTTATCATTGACATTGTATCGCTTCTTAAACGTTTTGAGTGATCTCGGGTAATTGATTTTTATTAAAGAGGAGCAATTTCATAATGCTATTCGAACAAATAATTGAATAATAAATTAAGCTTGGCTCGATAGTTATATTTTCTTATAATTGTAGATTCCTTACATATGTTTTCATATTTTTAATTAACTCAATACAATGTACAGGTAAATACTTCTAGCTTTTTATTTCAGAGAGTTAATTATTTCTTTCTATATTATAATTATTTTTAGCGAATTTATTTATATACCAATGTATTAAATTCATTGCATTATTAAAATGTAATAATTAATGGCATTTATAGGGTCTAAGAAAGACTGACTCTAAGAATTAAAACGTAAATAAATAATAAATTGTTAAGATTGCAAAATGATCGTCCTTTAATTTAGATACACACGAGCTTTTCGATTATTACTTAACGTGAAATGAAATCTTACTATACGAAACTTCGTTCTCTAAATGTAATTCGAGAGTTCGACAGGTACGAACACTTGACTTGCAGAGTTGATTGACTTTCACTAAACAGATCTTGGCATGAATCATTCTTTGTTCGTTCCGCATTTATGAACTTATATCAACGATTACTCTTGTGTGACGACTATCACTCCTCACTAGTCAGTCAATCCAAACGCCATTATATCGTCTGTTTTCAAGCACAATTGAAGTTTCAATTTAAATGTTCATCGTACAGTGTAAGCAATTTTAACTTGTGGAGATGTAACATTAAACTTTCTGTAGAGAGTTAGCAAAACTACAAGAACGTAATTCGGTTTTTCTATTTACTAATTCAGACTAAAAGTAAAGTTTCGACAACTGAATTTAAGAAAAGAAATAAATAGATGTTAATTAAAGTAATATCCAAAATGTTAGAATGTTTCCCTGTCAGCCTCTAAAACAGAATTTTATGAAAACGAACTCTTCTATTATATAGAAACATTTTATTCCTTTCACATTTTGTATTATTTAAGCAGTGAAATGAAAACCTACGTAATCTATGATCTACAAATTGTAACAAGTAATTATAATGTGACATTTTTCCTTATTCCTGAATGTGTACAGAACTTTAGAGTAGGTGGAAACGAGTCCCCCAAGAGACTAATCATATTCACGCCCATATTTGTGCCCACGCACAAATTTTCAAATTGCTACGATAACGAAAAATTAAACGAAGTTCGATCAATTATAGTAAGCGGAAAAGAAGTTCGTTAAAAACGTTACTTATTAACGATTAAACGTCGTTGTTACAGTCGCGAAAGGAGACCTACTAATTCGTTCATAACGTGTTACGATCGCCAGCTAAAAACGTTCCCCGGAGCACGATTCCAGAGCCGATTCCTTTCCACGATCGTTCGTGCGCACGAATCGGTTACGCGCGAATCGAAAGTAAATTCTCCTCGACTCTATATACAGCTGCAAGTATCAGGTTGTGCCTGCGATTGTGAAGCATATTCCGTACTGGACAATTGCGTGAATATTTCAATCTCCATGAACTATTGGATTGTGTTCAAATTTATAATTGGCAGATAAAATAAAACATTTTGGCAAAATGTTATTTTAGATAAAAGAAAAAAAAGAATTTTGTATTTTTCAAAATACTCTATTTGCCTCTTACCTTTAATCTACATTTTATTGTTTTTTAATCTTTGAAGGGATGAATTTTTAATGAATTTTCTTTTACTTTAATTGGATACACACAAACCAAAGTAATTTTTATTTATTAATCGATTGTAATCTGCCTTACTTTATCATGGAATATGCTTTAATTCTAA